TAGGCAGGAGTTTTGTCCTTTAACTTCCATTTCGTATACTTCTTAAGGCCCATTTGCGTAATTACCTCTGTGATAAGAGAGAAATGCCAAAAGACTGCAAGTTCGTAGGATTGTGGTGAAGAATAAAGGACGAAGATCGCGCTACTGAATTTCCAGAATCTAGCTCCCATTACTGATGGCTTCGCAGCAGTGTTTATAAAAGCAGACATTATTAACAATCCAAGCGGTGACTGGTGCTGTATGCATCTCTTCAACCCTGCTAAGATCCATCACCTTCTGTACAAAATCATATTGATTAATCTCAAGATTAAGTGTCATTATTTTTAATTCGATGTTTCTGTGACCAGCTAATGTATGGTGGTAACTTCTGTATCCGTCTTGCTATTGTAAACGCGAGCAGGCCTTCGGGCCATGCCAAGGCTGTGTTCCTTCTTCCACTCTTAAAATACATGCATTTCATCCACTACGATGTCTGCGATTACCTAGCGGAAAGTCTCAGAACCATCAATTGCTCCCAGGTTTAGACGGTGAGTCTCTGGTCTAAAACGGATATGCTACAGGGAAGACGGGGCAAGCCACCGTCTTGTATATAAGGAGAGCCGTATTGTCATTTCCGACACCTATATCTGCATTTTGTATGGGAAATCCCGACACGAAACTTTTCCAGATAGTTTACGGCGGTGTCGCTCCAGTTGTTAATAACTTGTCTGTAGCACACATGGATAAGGTAAAGCCAACTACAGACGTCGGTCTCGACTTTTCGCTGTGAGAGATTCAAGAGCCTCCGCCACCAATGCAAATGCGTCTCTTCCCCACCGTAGATACATGAAGCAAACAGTATCTGCTGGGATAGAGGTCATCAAAAATTGTCGAATCCGCTTTCTACTGCCACCACTAGTGTCTCGAGACTTCCTGTAGAGTAAAAGAAGGCAGTAAGTGCGACTGGATACATGTATTCCAGAGAGGATAAAACAAACTGATCTGTGCATGACCCGAGGGCCAGCCCACTCTTAAAAGTATAATACTTTAATTATGTAACCCCATGACGTTTGACGGTCACTTTAGGGTTTGCCTGAGCCTTGTACACATAGGCTGGCCTTCGGACAATGCCCAGATCCATTTGCCCCTTCGTATTCAGAGTACATGCATACAACTGCATTTACTGACTTCATATACCGGTTAGGAAGTATCGAGACGCTACAACAAGGACGAGACAAATCCTAGAACGATCGCCAAACGCCATGTAGTTGCATAAGTAAAGCAGTACAATTACAGTTTAATGTAGGCATCCAGGCAAGATTTATGATTCTGCCACCAAATGGATATATCCTATGCTTCCGATTAGCTAGCGAGGTTATCACTATTGCGTCAAGATCAAATTTTAGCAGTATTTATAAAGTTGTGGGGATTTTTAATCATTTACGGATATCTAATTAATGTAATCTGATTTTTAGATTTCCTTTATCGTAACCCAGAGTAATAGTAAAAAATTCTACTTTTGTTGTTCGTTATATCTAAACAATAAATGTAAGGAATTTTTAAAAAACGCTAGTTTGAAAATGTTTTTTGCTGGATTCGTCGCCTTTAAATAGCTTTCGCATGCTTATGCTAATGGTGGTAACTTTGAACGTTGGTATCGTGCGGCAATTGTTGTTCTGCCCGGTGGTCTTTTTTTATTGCGTTTCTTTGTTAAAGGTGTCATATTCCTTATTTACTTTCTTGGTCTCTTTATTTAAGTAGCACCCCTATTGTCATTTCATTATTTGCAGTTGATGTCAGTGATTGTCCTTCAGCAAATTGATGTTTTATCTTTCAATGATTTTGACACCTCAGTTAAGCTTTCAGAATCGTCAATTGTTTGAATCTTTAGTAAGTTTTCTAATTGTTTCATTGTTAGGTCAGACATGCCACCAAAGGGAAAAAAGGCGCCATCTAAGGCTCCTATTCCGGCCTTCAAGGAGGAGGAATCTCCTTTAACAGCCGTGATTATTGCTGAGGATATAGCAGAGAGGTTTGAACCCATTACTCAGTGGATACCACATTCGTTATTGCCCCTTGCAACTGTCCCTCTTCTTCACATTTCTATCTCCTGTTTGATCAGAGATGGTTTTCGAAATATCCTGATTTATGCTTGTCGTGACGCCCACAAGATACAAAAATTTGTCGACGCAAGCAATTATGTCAAACGATTTCCACTTTTAAAAATAGTCGTTTTCAGTGGCAATGGTAGTCGATGTTTGGGTGAAGCCATGCGTGATATTGAAAGCAATCAGCTGCTTCGAGGGGTTGAAGAATTTGTTTGCCTTCCCGCTGATCTCGTTTCTGATGTTTCGTTGGTGGAACTTCTTGAGGATTTTAAGGAACGTCGTAAGAAATCCAGTTCATTGGTTATTGATCTCATCTACGCCAACCTCCCTCCCTTCTCCTCTACTGAAGATGTACGATACACTGTTGTTTACACGAATCCTGATAAAAAAGTAATACAAGTGTCACGACACAACCGTGATATGCCCACAATTTTCGCCACTGACGCTGTTTTTGCTGCAGCAAAGATGAAAAACGTCGTCTCCATCAGATCTAATTTACTTGATACGCATGTTCTCGTTTGCAGTTCTCACATTCCTCCTCTCTTTCAGGTTAGTTCACTTAATTCAAAGTGAATAATAGGACGAAATTCGTTAAAAGTTCTCGATTTTTTTCGTCTAGGATAACTTTGATTATGATTCCATTGATGATCTCGTCAATGGGATTATAACCAATGAGGAAATCATGGGGTATATCGTAAACATCCAATTTGCCCCCTCCTCTGAAATAATCATTCCTGTTGCACCATGTCTCAGCTACCTCCTACGTGTGACACCTCACTTTCTTACACGTTTGGGTAGCACCCGAGTGCACCCGCCGAATTACCTCGTCATGGATCCTTTCTCGCGACTACTAGAAGGTGTAGAGTGCACAGCATCGACTACGAACCCTCTGGCCATTGCACCAACATGCTTTGTTTCAGGTAGTGCAAAAATTGACCCTAAAGTGAGCCTGATTGGAGCTTGCTTTGTCGGGGAGGGCTGTCGTCTGGAGCACGGTGCTGTGCTCACTGATACTGTTCTGGGTGACAACTGCACAGTGGGGAAGAATTCGCATCTCAATGGAGTAATAGCTCTTTCCGACGTCCATATCGGCGATTCCGTCAACATAACACAGTCTTGGTTGTGTTCTGGAGCCTGCATTCACAACAGAGTTCGTCTGGGCCCTCGTTGTTTTGTTGGCGTGCCAAGGGAGGGAGCGAAAAAGGAGAACAGCGAGCATCCTGGACGCTTGTGCATCATAGCAGAACCTGAAATTAATCTTCCTCCTGAGAGTATCATTGTCGCGTCTGAGGAGGGTGAAGAACGCGATTGGACAATTGTTCAACGTGTAGAAGTTTCTCGGTCTACTGTGAGTGCATAGTCTAAATGTGTTTTTAGTTTCTTTACGATGAATCCAATAACTTTGCATCTGTAGCTGTAGCATCTGTAATCACTCGTGTCAGTTAGTATGCTATCCCCCTCTGGGGCATGAAGTAATATGCCATGAGTTACCGTCTTCCTTTTATTTGTAGTCCTCACTCATGGATGAGGAAGGGGATGAAGGTGTTGCGGACTCGGATACAGGAAGCGTGGGCTACAAGGACTTGGTGCTTTGGCGAGCCAACTGGGGACAGACGTCAGGTTCCTCACATCCTGATGACAGCGAAAATAGTTTCTCACGTCAGCGTAACATTGGTTTATTCAATGCTGATGCGGATAATGAGGCTGGTGCTGGAGGCGCTAGTGCTAATTACGACGTTTTTGGGGCTCGTGGTGGCGAATCAGATGACACTGACGACGATTTTCTCATCCAGGAGTTGCAGAAGACTCTCAGTCATAGCTTGAAGGCCAATCAGCCATCCGATGTAGTGATGTTGGAGGTGAATTCTCTCAAACATGCCTACAACATTTCCTTGGAGGATTTGGCTTTCTTGTTTATAAAGGCTCTCCTTGCCTTGGCATCAATGTCGACACAAGGCAGTGATCCTCCTGCTTTTGCACTCACTTTCAAAAAAATTCTTGCTCACTTCGTTCCGGTACTTAAAAGGTACATTTCCAGTTCAACTGGGTGTGCTTCTTACTGTCTCCAAGCTATTGAGGACCAGGCCTGCTACCAATCCGTCATAATGGAAGCCTCAAGATGGCTGCTTCACTGTCTGTACGACGTCGACTTGGTGTCGGAGGAGGTGATTAGGGAGTGGCTAGTATCATCCCCTCTTCTACTAGACGATGAAATGGCTTCTAGCTGTCGGCAGTTGAGGGAGAACATTAAGCCCTTCATAGATTGGTTGGACCAGGCTGAGGAGGAAGATGACGAAGATTAGTGCCTGTCATAACGGAATAGTCGACGGTGTTAAGTGTCCTGTAATCTCTAATGTATACATATATATTTATCATTGGCCTTGACTTACTAGATGAACTTCTTTTTTAACAATGTGAAAAGGGGCAGACTACTATCGTGGACCGCCTTTGTGTGCTTAAATTGTGGTAGACATTCCTCAGATATGCTTGTCAATCATACCCACTATATCAAATGGCTGTAAGTTTGCTCCCAATTCTAGTCTGCACACATACCTCAAGTGAGATGAGGAGGCTAATCGGAACACCAGTAATCCAAGCGTCCTAGTTTTTTGACATTGGTGATCTGCAGAGCGCGCGGATCTCTCTGGTGTAAGTGAGGGATCCCCCTTCGGGATCACCGGAGATGAAGGGTGTCAAATGTCTCCCCCGCATAGCATTGTTCAGTCCATTTTTCGCTCATCAGGATTGTGGACAGTCTGTGCTGATGTAGGTGTGAAGGGGGAATCACTGCACTGAGAAACACAGTTGTGTGGATGTTTCGCTGCTGATGACCTTCAGTTTAACCCGATTTTATCATTCGAGAGTCGATTTTTTCATCTATAGGTCATCAAGCGTTTCTAATGGTTAACTGACTGCTTGGGAATTCGACCAACTTCTGGTACAAATTTCCATACTGGCTTTCTGCAGTTTTTACTAGCTTGCAGTGATTTGTTAATGACGCACTGGCTTTTGTGCTCCCAACTTATTCCCGCTTATGGATTCTTACTTGGTGATAAGATTTGCTTGTATCTGGGTCAACCTTCAGCAGTGGTAAAAGGTGAGTTGGAAGTTGCTTGGTAGATTTACAGCCGGTAGTTTCTGAGCCTCGGGTGAACGGCACAGATCGAAATGCACGAGTAAACACGAGTTGGGAGCAGAGGCAACTTCTCCGTCCTGCTAAATGGGATTAGTGGCGTCGTCGCCCGCCGGAGTTGAAATACCAACGAAATGAAGCACAGCAGCCGGCATTGTAGTTTGTCAAAACCAAAGAGGAGCTGCTTTCGAGAGCCACTTCTTTTAGTTCTCCATTCAACATTACTATAGTCCTTCAGTATTCCATTCATTCTTTCGCTTATAAAATTCACATTGAGAGATGAGTTTATTAAATCAACCTAGCAAGCAGAAGTCTGTTGAAGGATTCCTCACCTTCATTGTGTGCGTTAAGATGAGTCAATGTTCGTTTGCTACCGCCTGCCGTCGGGCAGGTATGCGGCAAGAAAAAGAGTCTTCGCATCTGCGTTTCAACCAATGTCACGCATGCAGGCTTCACATTAGTTAGCTTTAAACTGAACCTAACCCCAACCTAACCCCCAACCTAATTCACACTTCTGAGCTGGGTCACCGTATAGCAGATAATCGCCCATTGAGGACAAGGCAGCAGTCATAACCCATACCCCAAACCACAGATCTACACTCTCAATACCACGTAATACAATGTAAAAGCGCAAAAAGCAGTTCATTCCTTGTGGCAAAGACATCCTACTCCTTAATCCTAGCCTCGAACCCACGACATCATCCTACTCAACATCGAATCCATATTCGTCTTTGATGTTCCAGAGAAGGGCATCATCGACTCGAAGATGGTGATCTGCCGCCTCTCCTTCGTTTGCGTATTAGGCGCGTAGTCAAAAGTAAAAAACGGCTTACGCTGGTGTTAAAAAAGAAACAGGGATGACCATAGTCGGACAGCAGTATCCCATCTTAAAAAAACCAACGCTCCTCAACAATCCATAACCAAATTTTGGTGTGAAAAACGTCAAGTTAGAAGCAATAAGTGTGTACCCTACTGGGGGTGAGAAAATAAGACCACTTTTCATTTCAAAGACAATAATCATAGCATAGACAATCGATAATCTCGCTACCAGCATCACATATGCAACACCCCCATTTTCTCGTCTTGGATCGTATGCCATGGATACAATACGAAGACAGTCAGGTGAGGAAGGCCACAACCAGCAACGCCTTCTAATCGCCATAAATCGGCGCAGCCAGTTTACCACTGGTATTGATGGGGGCAAATGCAAATCCTCTTTTCATTGTGTTAACAATCCTGCCGATAATTACAACCACATTTAAAGGTAAAAAAAGAAGTAGGTCGACCAAAAACCCTTTAAGGCAAGTTTTTTATCGAAACAATTCTGATCCCAAAGTCCTCCACATGGAAAGTCTAAGCATTAAAGGCTAATACCAACATTTTGGCGTTAGAAAACCACAAAACAGATGGTATAGAGGAGAATAAGGGGTAGCGCTTTGTAGCTAAACATACTGTACAAGGATTAGTTTTCAGTCCAGACATGCTGACATTTCATACAGGAGTACTTAGTGGTGCTTGGTTCGTCCGCCGAACGTGTCTGCATCTGAACAAAGTACGCCCGATTGTGCCCACATTTTGGACATTTTTCTTCTATCTGAGCGGAAGAACTGTAGGCATCAGCAGCGGAGAAGACCGCATCTTCCTCCAGTCGCAATCGTAAATCAGCATGAGGAATATGGTCCTGGACGATAGGAGCGGTCACAAACCACTGATATGCACAGCTTGGATCGGTACAATTCAGCGCAAGGCAGTGAGAAGATTCCTCTATCGAGAGAAGTGAATCGCATACAGGACAAAAAAGAACGGGCATTTGTGGCACCGAACATGATCACTTCCCACCACAGACATGATTGGCCAACCAACAAATGAGCTAAGTGCATATTTATGACAGTTAATTATGACAGTACTTAAAAACGAATTACGATGGTTTGGCTTAGTATTCACACAAAACTCCAGGGAATGCGTTGGGATCTTACTGTCGCTACTAGAAATGAGTTCCGATTACGATTCTAAGCAGAGTGAAATAAGTATCACAATATTGTGCCTCGCGTTAAAACTTCATAAGTATTATCTGGACAAATATGTGCATAGAATGCTGAGCGATCAGATTTGGTTGCTAGCACATTTACATTTGTCATTTTACCCCGTAAGTAGAAAACGATAAATTTGATAACCTCTTGATTGTAGAAGTTTGATGTTAAGGTACTTTTTTAATTAATTAAATTCAATGTCTACAAAGCAATGACTGCCAAGGTGGTGAAGCATTTGGTTTCTTCACTAAAGGCACTGCCTAGAATATTTCAATTCGGTGTGTGCGAAATGACGACTCTAGCGGAGATCCCTTCGTGCGAAAGCCTATTTAAG